GTACGTGGGATATTTAATTTTTTGACATTTAGATTTATCAAGTTTTGTATAATTATTTCAACACATTTATATTTGTATTTATGTTACAACAATCAACCGATGAACCAAGGGATAGTAGTTTTTTTGTACCCAAATCTGTTTTAGGGACAAATTTTAAGCCTTTGTTTATTTAATAAATTGTTTTCTTCTTTATTTAGTACCATGTTTGTTAAGTTTATAACCCTTGGGCAAAATTTAACTGGAGTTTTTGGGTCTTTATGTGTATTTTTTATTTTTAAGCGGACAGTACTTTAAGTTTTTAAGTTTTTTATCTCATATACTTTGTTTTTTATCAATGATTAATGTAACTTTTTATCGCGTATCATAATCGAATTCGTTCCTTCTACTGGAAACAATAATGAGGCAAGCCTAATGTGTACAATATATTGATAAAAACGTTTTATCTCTTTGACTGTACAATTTATGTAATTCATTATTTAAAATGGTTTTTTGGCATTTACACTGTAAGAGAGTGGAACAGTTCTTCATATTTAATTTAGCAAGAACGAATTTTACGATTAGATTTAATTTCAAACATTGGTAATTGAACCAGATTGATTTGTTGATTTTTGAGCATGAAAGTCTTAATTTATAATAAAGATTTAAAAGTACTTGTTTACTAACAGATTTTAAGTAAGTGGAGGTAATATTATTGATTGTGTTATAATTCATTGCTGCTTTGACTAGCAAATGTATAGAAATGATGAATGATGGAGTGAGTGCGTTGTTCAATCCTTTTTTTAAAAAGATATTTCCTACTCACAGTAAGTTGTTTTCCAACGATCTGGATTTCTTTTTCTTATAGTATTTACCATTACAATATTTACTTGTGTTATAATTACCGCTATTTCGCTTTTCGCACGTTCAAATTAAGCCCCATTAAAAAACCAGCTTCTCATTGGAACGTCGCGATCGCGGGGGTATCGGCGGGTTCACTTTTGCAATTCATGTCGAGAGACAAGGGTAGAAATCCTTCAACCTGATGATGAGCTCAGAAGGGGCTCGAAATCCGGATAGTTGGAAAACAACTTACTCAACTTACCGTTAGTAGGAACTATCTTTTGAAAAAAAAGGATTGAACACCGCACTCACTCCATCATTCATCATTTCCCTAAGCTATTGTTTTTCAATAATTAATTAATACTTTATTTATTTAGTCGTAATCCGCCTAGTCACTTATGCCTATCTAACTGTTTCTTTTTTTTACGAGAGTTCGGAACAGCAGGGCCGCTGGATTCGAACCCAGGACCTTTACAGTGATGAGCGCCGTGTCAACGCTTAAACCGTTGCGGCCACCGACGCCCTTATCTAACTTTAAAATGTAAAACTTTATCCCTATACCCGGCAAGTTGTTACAACGTTAATCTCTGATTTGATTAGATTAGATTTCATTTAAATTTTATTTTTATTTTTCCAAATATATAACATTTAATTTTGTCAATCTAGAATGTTTTACCCCCTCTAAACTAATATTACAATATTTTTACCTCCAAATTAAGTTAAAATTATCTAAAATAATAAATTTGATCAAGTTTTGGATCTTTTGTGTAAGACCTAATTAGATCCCAAGGATTTTGTAGCAGTTTTCTAAATAATAAGTAAATTGTAGAAAATTATTTTTTTTAAACGCAAAGAAAATCTTCTTAGAATAATTTCCAGTTTGTAACTCCTTACAATACACAACTATATCATAATAACAACAACAATTATATTCAAATCTAGTAACAATTATGAACAATCCTAAAGACTTAAGACAGATTTAGACGAACAAACAAGTTAAGTAAATCAAATATACTATTGTATATAATTAGAACTGTTTACGTTGACATCAAAATACATGTTTAATTCTTCTGATTTCATAATTTATTGATAGAGTAGATTCCAATTTCATGGCATGTAGAATTACTGTTGTTCATCTGTTTATTAAAGAACTTTACAGAGATGCGCATAACTTTATCTTTTATAAAACCCAATCTCCATGCTATCAGGGAGGAGGCTAATTCTTGTTCGGCGGTTCGAAGATGTAATTAGATATTCAGATATCGTGAGATGCGGTCGGGTGTGATGTAGGTTTCAGAAAAACATTTTCTTTATCGTGCCAACGTTTCGATCTTTTATTGAGATCATCTTCAGGGCTCAAAGTGTTTGTCTTCTGTGTAATTGTGCCATCCTTGCGTGTCGTGTTGAGAGTGACTACACGCAAGGATGGCACAATTACACAGAAGACAAACACTTTGAGCCCTGAAGATGATCTCAATAAAAGATCGAAACGTTGGCACGATAAAGAAAATGTTTTTCTGAAACCTACATCACACCCGACCGCATCTCACGATATCTGAATAACTATCGATTAACGGTCACTAATCTCTACACATTTCTACACGATGTAATTAGACTAAAAACTGGCTATCTAATGAACTGTGGGGACCAACACAATTTGCGCATTTTGGATGGTCGCTTGACCCAGCGTAGGGCAGATATTGTGTTGTGGCCTAACGCATAGATGCCACATTTCTCCTTGGTTTGGCAGGAGGATGACAGATAACCGTAATTCCGACAAAGGACGACACCTGAGAGCTCTTCCATTGTTTCTTTACCCCCCATCGGATTCGACGATAAACAATAGACGACTTCTTTACATTTCTGTATGTCACTAACCGGGTTCCCTCTTGAAAATATACTGAGAAGGTTGGTCTTTTTCAGGCGCTTCAACAATTGACGACGTTTTCTCACGATGATGTACTTATTAATTTTGTATGATTAAGATAATTTTTTATCTAGTCTTCCGCCCGAGAAGCTGGCATGCTAAAAGCTTTAACGGGTATGTGTGGTGTGGAATCGCAAATTTACTAAGTAATCAACAAGGAACTTATATCTTGTTCATATACGTGCAATCGGTGGGATACTTCTGGATCCTGTACGAGCAGTCTTCCCGCGTTACATTTGTTTGCTCTTCGTCCTCAGAGCCACAAAGACTAACAAAATAATTGAAGATACTAATTTTGGGTGGTCTTCCTTAGGCGAATCATCACACCTCCGTTTCGTTGTATTACGGATTTGGAATAACGAATTCAGTTTCACTTTTTCTTTTGTCTTCATTGTTCCCATTCGCCTTGTTATCTGTCTCGCTGTGTGTTTTGCTGGACCAGATATCGCACGTACAAATCCCTTCTCACACCGATCACTCAACTAGTAACTACGAATTTAATAGGAAACATTCTTGCTATCGCTGTATTACCGTGACTTATTTCGTTTTTATCACTTATCACCGAGAATAAAAAACAAAAATTAAAATTAAAAAAATACTGTAAACAAACAGTTCTACAACCCAAAATTGACTAGAGTTGCTTTCTACATTTCCATGCAGAACACAATGCGTTGAAAGGAAGAAGAGGGCTCGTCGATGTTCACTCAACAAGCACTGGCACAAAATGATTTTTCTTTATCGCTATTGATTCTCAATCGAAACATGAAGAATCTAGCCATGAAAACTATCATAATGCAGTATTGTTAAGTATGGATTAAATCCAATCAGTGGCAACATAGAATTGTGAATGTGTAGTAAAAGAGGGTTAACTGTTTTTTTACATACCGCAAACATATGATATTGTCAACGTCTATTTACATTATTTATTTACCAAAGCATATTGCATAGCACTGGGATAGTTAATAAAATATTAGTCTTTGGCTGAATATTTCGTGTTTAGCTCAAATCGAAAACCAATTCCTATCTTAATAAATCCGTTTCTCACGGGATAATATCCAATTTATAAAACGGTACATTAAATTTAGTAAACCGTATAGTTTTAATGAATAAAAGAATCGTGACAAACAATTTCCTGTCAATTCGAATACAACAGTCGGGCGAACGATTACTGTATAAACAATGATTTCACTCCTTGAAATCAGTCGTAATCTGAACAAATTATCTTATGGGAAACCGTTCGATCATCAGTTTATCAAAATTTGATGAATATACATCACCAGAGATCAAAGAAGTCTGGTCACTTAAGTATATTTAAGTTGGTTTTGCATCAGCTGGAAATTCTGCAGATTTTCACAGTGTAAGCCAACATAGTGTGTTAGTGTGTTTCGATAGAGTAGGATTTTGCGGATTATTGTTTCATAAATATTATATTGTTTGATGAATCAACGTTTTGCCGGTATGCTTGAGGAGTTGTTTTCATTAAATATAATTCTTTGTTCGTATCAATTATACTTTTTTCTGTTTTATTTCTTTTATTACTTACGAATAACAAAACCTCGTTCAATACGTTTCAATCTTATTTTCATCAAACCCAAAACTATCGGTAATACTATTAATTTCTATTATGTCGGTTTATTTCCGTTGATCTTGAGATACTAAATGTAAGGTCATTGGTAGGGACATGAAAACATTTGTTTATTAATTTATTTTAATTTAAACTATGGTTTCAATTTATTTAATTATCATTCAGTTTTTCATTAATTACCTGCAGGCAAATTTTTAATAATTCAAAATGCAATTTAGATATGTAGATAACACTTGGAGTAGTTCACACAATGGCCTGTCTTTATTTTACATTATCAAAATAGCAGGCCACCAAGAGATAAGGGTTCAGCATAAACAAAACCGAGATTCAAATCCGAAAATGAAGTTTTCAATTCTTGAATTGTAGATTTGTAACGCTCATAAAGATGCAGTTCCGTAAAATCCCTCTAGAATGCCATGTTCCTTAAACCGTTTTTCTTCCGGTCACTGAATACGCCAAGTATCCGTTATTTTAACGCCACTAGCAAGACTTAGGCGGCAATAAACTTTGAACGAAATCCCGTTTGCAAGTCGGACCCGTCCGTGCTGTGAAAATAAATTTAAATTTATCTCAGACAGTATTTAACCGCGAAAACCAGCCCGGTGTACTTCTATTTATTTAACAAACAATTTCTTTAAAAAAAATATCTTTTTTATTTTAAATATTCACCGATCCATGACGCCTCTTCTTTCGAGAAGTTGTTGATTTTGGAATCCTTTTCGAGCTGAGGGATCAAAATGCCTGAAAAGGCCATGTTGATTCCAGGCTGAATAACAGAACTCAGTGCTATGATACTCGATACAATCTGTAAAGCATAACGGTTTTTGTTTTAGTGTAAAATATTAACATTATGAATGTATAAATGCACCTGCGGCCAAACATCTATCCAGCTCGGTTTTTGATAAACGGGAAGTGCCGTTTCTGGGCTCGAACTTGAGTCTCTCCTGACAACAAAAAATAAATAAACGCGTTAACAGAATTTAATCATTAATGAAAATGGAAATGCATGTATATATTTGTTGATGCTTTTGTTAGTAGGTTAAATCATAAAGAAAACTTATTTACATTAGCATTTTTAGGGGTTCAAGGTTGGTTCCCCGCAATGAAGTTTCAGAGAGGCATGCTGATTTACTATGCTCTGCTGGGAATTGCCCGTCAGTGTGTAAACTCTGCCAGCAAACTGGAGATCCTCAGATGACTCAGTCCTCAGAGTGAGGTCCCCCACAAATCCTAATCCACCTCTCGCTTAATATTCCTATATTCCCCCCCACTAATCCAAATCCTCATCAACATCCCTTCCCTTTACATCTTTGAGTGTTGGATAGAGATGAGCATCGATAGAAAAACTTCGATGGTCACTAGCGATTAAACAATGGAACCTCATCATCGATGGTGGTACGACCATCGACTCTATAGTCTACACATCGATGGTTTTTGGAGTATTCATTACTCAAACAACAAATTATTTTAAATATGCACAAATTATTGTTATGAGCTACTTTAACATAACAAACAACATAAGCTAAACCATTATTAGGAACTTGAATAATAAAAATAATGTTTATTAATCAAATTCAAAAACATTTATTAGGATTTTTTGCATTTGGTTCTATTTATAGTTATATACAGATCTCTCGGTCCTTTTTGAATAAAAGACGTCATTGTTTACATTCGAAATTTCAAGACTTACAATACTGACAACCCCACGAGTATTGCCTGTGGAGGTACCGCTATCCTAATTCGCAACACCATAAACCATTATCTAATCTGATTTATTACGACCACCAATATTTTTTTAACCTGCGTAAAAAATAAATTGGGTGTTATATATAATACATATTACATATATAATAATATATACCAAATACAAAATCTACAACCTTCAAATAAATGCGCAATAAAGGCTGAAAACATATTTTTAAATTATTAAAATATTTATTCCAAGCTCGTAGGGCCAATTTGCCAGAACGCTCGGAGTATCACGTAAAAAATGTTTCATTAAACTCTATGTTCCTACATATGTATGTAGCCTTCCGTTGTAAGACGAGCTATGTTAATTTTAGTGTTGTAAAAGTTTTGTCTTAAAAAATAGTTAAACATGAACTAATAAAATAATTTATATAACGATATCAATTGTTAAATAATATTTCTTTGGTTAATACTATTCTGGGGTGTAGGAGGCCGATATGGTTTAGGCGCTGATACAGCGAAACATCAATGTTAGGTAGAGGTCCCGGGTTCGACTGCAGAGTCGCTGGATATACACACATAAAATGAGCTTTTTGCACCCAGCACCTCGAGGGTTCATATATCCTCAGTTTAAATATCCTCGTAAAGAAATGATCGGATTTTTATTAAAATGATTCAAAAGTCCAGATATTAATAAATGATATTAAGAATTTTTGATGGTGTCCATCTTGATTTTGCGGAACTTCATAATAGGATGATGGGTAGGAAATAAATTGTCTTTTCCACGATAGGCTATTGTACAAAAGACAATTTATTTCCTATCCATTATCTTGTTCTTAGAACTTGTGATCCTTGGTTTCTACCTCTGCAACGGAACGAAGCGGACTCACAATGCTGAACTGCCCAATCAACAAACGGCAATTAAGATAAATTTAGTGATGTTTGTATTTGTAAATCATAACCATCTTCTAGTTTTTCATTAACAATATTGCAACTTTCCTTTTCCTATTGAATATTTTTTAAAGCTATTCGAAACAATGATAATTAAATTTTATAATTAAGGATATCAAGTGATGTTGTCGGACAAATGTTCTTATTGAACAACTGTTTTAATTGGAGTACGAAATTAAGACGGCTTTTCTATTTGCATATCCAACCAGAGAAGTTCCACATTGTACGTATCAAATTACCAACGGGATATCCTTACAACATGAGTCCAGAACAAGACGAAAAACACTCTACGTAATATAATGTAAAAATTGTTTTAAAAAGCGAATCCTTTAGTTCTACTAAGATTTTAAGTCATTTTACTATACTGTCGCGATATATAAGCATAAAGTGTCCATCATTCCTATGAGCCCTTTTAACCATTAATTCAGTTTAAATTAATTTACATAATTACATATTAATGAACGAACATTGGGTGAACTGACGACCATGATCGTTGTGAAAATGAGTTTTACCAAAGAGTCTTGTGGTGGTTTTCACCGACAGGAATTAGAGTGACATGTCATCATATACTTTGATATACCCCTTATTGATTATGTAAATCGTTAACTATAAGGACGACAGAGGAAACAATGTTTGTTGTACGAAGGTGCGTATATAACAACTCTTAACAACGCGATTTTGTGTTTTTTGAACTTGGTGTAGTTGTTGCTCGGCGGCACTAATGTCAGAGGATTATTTGGCGATTATTTTACAGAGACAACTAAGATGTTGGAAGAATCTATCATACTACGACTTCGATCGCTTTACTGGATCGTCTTTCTCGCTGGTTTACGTACACCCACATTTATGCCATCATGGCGCGAAGCTAAATCGAATATGAGTTGAAAATGTAAACCAGCGAAGATAGACGGACACAGTAAAGTGATCAGTGTCATCAGTTCAACATATGATCATCCGCTCGCAAATCAGAAAACACCACAAAACTAAACTACCTATTTTTTTGTGGAACGCTGGCATTCAGTGTACGGATTAAGGTAAGGAGGTCTCGAGGTCATCGTCGATTAAGGCGACGTGGTGGGTTCTTGGGATGGGAATGTAAAGAGGGCTCGAGCAGTAGGGTTAGGATAGATCTTAGAGTGGTTTTGGACTTTTGAAATCTGAAACGGATCAGTTCGTTGACAAAAGCAATGTTGAGAAATTGTGGATGGTGACGACATAGTAAGGAACTGTGACAATTTGTTTGGAAGGATTGGATTCGCTGGATATTAGATGGCCTGGCAGATCCACATAGTTCCACTCCGAATGTCCAAAGTATAAGTAGCAGTAAAGTCTTCTGTAAGGGTAGTTTAGTGTCGACGGTCAACAAGGACTTCGGTCTTAGAAGTCTTTAGTTGTCCAAGTCTACTGTAAAGTTGTCTCTTAAGTATTGTGTGGGACTTCCACATCAGTGTGCTGTCTAGGCCCTAAGTATTTTATTGCATGGAAATCGGTATTAATTTGTTGTTGATGTACAATGGGGGCAAGCCTTTTTTTCAATGTGAACGAACACTGACGACATTTTTATTCATTCAATCTCCACTTTTTGCACCAGTTTTCGATAAGCTCAAGATTTTCTTCAACGATGGAGTTAGCTTGGATAGAATTCGAATTAGAGGACAAAATTGCGATATCGTCCGTGTAGGTGGTGCTAGGGTGTGCAGGTAGGTGAGCAGTGTAGATAATGGGACCAAAATACTCCCTTTTGTAACGCCGGCTTGTATCGGTCTAATTTAGAGAAAACTCGTTACTTCACCTCAACCTGAAGCAGCGGTCTGGATCTGATTAAGTATAGAAATCACACCCCCATAAATTCCATTCTATTCTTTGTAGAAAGCGCCTATAGAAATCGATATGGCATATAGATGTTTTACGTTTGTTAATTGTTATGAAAATGGTATAAGTTAAATGAAATGAATGAGAAAAACCGTTTGGTCTGGCTTGACAAACCTTACAATACAGCTTACAACACTGTTCCTTTTTCTTAATAGCAAAAGAAATGAGAGTTGACGGGTGTTGTCAGTGAACCCAAGCTTAACCGGCATGGGGTCAAGGTCTGTCTTCAGTAGTTCAAAAAACACGGGAATAAAGACGGACTCTGACCCAATGCCGCTAAAGCATATGCATGTGCAATAAAAATATTTGGAATTTATCTTTTCACGAGTATTTTACATATCAACAGATTGTCTTGAATTTCACAATATTTTGAACATTAAGCCGAATTTTAGGTGAGAATGCAGAAAACTAATAAGAGGAATGTTTTTATTTCCTCAGGAGTTACTGAATTTTCCAAAAATATATATGTCTTCTACAATTACATGTTATAGTGGATTTTACTATCGATGGTTTAAATTCATCTTCTGTTTCTGATGATAAGAACATGAAAATTTAAAATTATGAAAATTAAAAATGACTAAGACAGCAATTTTGGCCAATGTTATAGCTTACGTTTTAGTGAACAAGTTAATACACTGCATGTCCACATTAAAAAATCTACGATTCGTAATGAATTAAATTAAAATTAATGAATTAACCAAAATTTTAAATTTTCCAATTTTGGAGAAACAAAAATGCTTACTCATTCAGAAGACTTTCACTCCCTGCCGGTCTGATGGTGATTTCTTTCCTCGAGGGTTCGTGCAGCGGCTCTTCGCTATCCATCTTCCAGTCGTTTTCAATTTACCTGGAACGTATCAGTCAGTCACCGAGGATATAACTTAGCTGAAAACGAGAATAGTCCCTCATAGGACCGACATCGACCGTGAAATGTACATTGTAAAAGACCGGCGGCCCCCCACCTTATCTTAAAAAAAAACTATCTCCCTCCAGTCCATATTTGTTCTAGCTGTTTAGCTAGGCAATTCTGAATTAACGAAGTGCCCTACTCTACTAATTCTCGACGATACGATGCCTTTTGAGTTGCATTTGGACGAGGCAAGTAATTGACGTCTGAAAGTCAACAAAGATGTTGACTAGTACCATCCGGCAATGAGTGCGGTAAGTTATACTGATCGAATCACTTGGCGGACCCCACCATATAGTTGTAGATTTCCAGTTGGTAATTTTGTCCTTTCTATTAATTTCTGTCTACCTCTGCGGAGAAAGGACCCAACACTGAAAATAACGCGGAGCCAAAACGCGTCTTACAGACCAAAAAAGGCGGAAAAGACCGAACTACGGGTGCATAACTTCGCAAACTTCAAGGGAAAATCTCACAAATTGGAATTTATCAATACACTCACCACTTATCCAATAATATGATTTATGAGATATGAAGATAAAACCCTACAACGTGTAAAAACCAAATTGGTGGAAACTCGGCCTTAAAGGAGAATGTCCAAATAAGATAAGGGTTTCATATAGATTAATGGGTTAATACATCGAGTCGAAGAAATATAGCTAAACCTAAAAGCTTTACTTTAAGCATTTATAAATCCACTGGACAACGATCGAACTATGTGATTGTATGCATACCCAATTGAATTGTTCGTAAATTAACGTATTAAAACTATTGAGAAACTATTGACTCAAGTAGGTAGCTAAATAGTGGTCCAATTAACCAAATTACTTCTTTAATTAATTAATTTTTATGTAAGGTCTCAATTGAGATGAAAAATAAATAATTTATACGAATCTACAACCAAATGGTGGGTCTGCCAATTGTCGCCAATGATCCGGCCAGTTCTTTACAATTTTCTGCACTCATTGCTGGATGACATTAGTCAACACAACAGACTAATTGGTCAATTCAGATTAGATAATGTGATTAAAATAAAAATTTATATAAAAAATGGAATGTATGCAATCTACGGCCAGAAATATGAACAACGTTTAACAAAAGAGAGACCTTATCCTAATTTAATAATAAGCCCAATGTACAATTAGTTAAAGAATAATTATTGATTTGTTTTTAAATACGTAATTTATTTCAGATGTAACCTAAGATGCTCCAAGCGGCAAGCGAAAAGAAGGCCTTAGTAGAGAATAAGTTGTTAAAGAGAGACGTAATGCGTTCAATGTCGAAATCATGTTTTATTTCGTTCAAGTCGTGTTATTTAAGTATTCTTTTCTTGTATTCAATAAAATTTATAAGCAAATTCGAGTTCAATTCCAGAGCCACTAATTCGATCCAATTTTCCCGTATTTCTATTATCTAACGTTAAGGCAATTTATGTTGGAAGACTAAAGATTGATTATTTTTCAAAATTTGCTTTTATTATGCTTTTATTAATTATTTACTATTTATAATTCTCTTTGAATTAAAGCTTAAAAAATAAATCAAATAAGAATAAGAATAAAAATAGTTTTTGTGAAGTGTCGCTAGAACAAGTTGTTTTTTGTTACCCTATGCATTTCACATTTTTTACTACTATCTACGTTATGTTCTTTTTGTTATTTTTTAATTATTTTATCGGCTTATGCTTAATTATATAAATACTCAATTAATTATACACAAAAAGTCACAGGCGGGATTTAACCCATGACTTTCGGCTAAATACGCCGCTGCTCTCTATCACTTGAGCTACCCTGACTTCGATCGCCCATGCCACAAACTTCTCATTTCGACTCCCGTTTTATTCCAATTGTAAGCAAATCGCGGCTTCATATCGAAACACTTTTTATTAACGATTGTACTACATTAGCGGAACTGTGTACGATTCACATGTGTGATTCTAGATTAATACTAACTTTTTAATTATTTTATCAGCGTTTGCTTAATTAAATAAATACTCAAAATAAATAAAAAATTTCATTTCGAAAAAATTGTGTATTAATTGAGACTTTTTATTATTTTTATATTTAATGTTTGTTGTGCGATCAACCAGCTTCCATACGATGTTGATTGGGATTCGGGTTGTGGTCTTCAAACATACAATGTTATTACATAGTGCTGTTCCAAATATACACAAGCTACGAAACATAATTTTGACTTCGATGGAGTCAAAATTGTGGCTTCTGAACAAAATACAGGCCATAGACTTTTGAGGGAAATGATATCTATTCATCAGGACAACATGGCCTGTAATTTAAAAACAGATTTGAATAATTTAAGTGTGATGTACAGTGGGATCCTAGAAAAAGATAAGGTCTCTCCCAAAAGATCGTAACAATACTTGCGTACATATTTATTTATTTATATATTATAACAGGCTGTGATAACATACCTTGCTAATTTAGTTAACAAATTAACTATTAAAAAATTACAAAACATCGCTAAAAACTGTATGTTAGAAATGTAGTATTTTCAGTCTGAGAGTAGGAGAACTTATGCAATCAAATGATCAAATTGCTAATAAACCATAAGATGAGAACAAGGTAAACTGCAGAGATTAAATTAGATAATTACAGAGATTCATATAGAAACACCATAAAGTATACAAACAAGTTTCGTGCTACCCCCTAGACTAACACAGTGGAAATATGTTGCTCAACACAATAACGGAAAAGTAATCACCACTATAACTCGCGGTTCACACATATCATTAGGTAAATATAACGACACAATACTACGAACAAATTCGTTATCCCGGTTCTATTATATTTATAAATTAACTTACACGAGAAAAAAAATAAATGAAATACGTAAATATTCGACTTCTCAAGATAAGGAATATTCATTTGAGCAAAGACTGTTTGTCTCGATCTAACAAGGACAAAATTACATTAAGCAAAATTCTATTTTAAAACTTAGAATCACCACTTACAACAGAATTCATTAACGAACTTTCACCATTGAGAAAGTTCTAAAAGATTTTTTTTATGTTCGCTTGAGCGTTGGTTATCTAAAAGAACCCGATATGTGTTATCAAGTAGAAAACGTTTAATATTCTGCAAGCACTACAACATTCAGCTCTAAACACACTGAAGGATCGTTTTACTACACCCTGTATTTACTTGTTCTGGTAACTTACTCATCAATAAAAATAAATAAATTAGGTTAATAACATAGAAAACACTTCATTAACGTTAATAAATTTCATTGACACATCACATTTCATTCGCATTACACCAGAGTAGTCGATATTCCTCGAGGTAATTGGGGATATACACCTACACTCACGCTAATAAATTACATTCAGAAACCAGACTTCATTCACATTACCATAGACTACTGGATATTCCTCGGGATAATTAGGACATACCCTGCGATTCATACTAATAAATTAGGTTCACACATTCATGATCACTGCTCTAGAGTACTCGATATTCTTCGAGGTAATGTTTTTACCTATTAGCATACATCTGCAGTTTCATCGTTTCCAATTACCCTGATCTGCCTATCATCGCGATGAACCCACCACTGAAGATGGCCAACAGCCGAAACGCGTCTGATAATCCAAAACAGCGATGACTGGCAGACTTTTTTACTTAATGTCCCCACACGTTTAAACCTATTTATGAAGAGAAACCTATTTGAACTATGTATTTGCATTTCAGCTATTTGAGCTATTTCAAAAATTTTAGTTTGACCTTGTCTGCTTGTTCTGGATAGCACACAAACCTGCAGATGGCAAGATATGTCATTTCACAAAACAAACTATGAGACTACACAAGTCAGGAAAAGAAAAAGCTACAAATTTATTACAGCCAAATACTGATTTTAGTATTTGCTCTGCTTTTTTATTTCACCGCAGTAAAATATAATGCCCAATGATTGTTTTGTGACGAACATGTTTCCCACCACCTTTGAAGTGAATAGTAATGAAGAGGGTTTAAAAGATGAAACCGCATGTTTAAAAGCAGGTTAAAATCATTTATATGAATTGTCATTAATTAGAAAAAACAAATCTTCTCGAATTATTGCTTGTAACACGATGGCACTGTGGTGCTACAGCGGGTTTCGGCACTGTAGCCAAGCCAGAATAGTTCAACTATTTGCACATAGTTTAAAGTTAGAATCTTACTTGAGATAGAATGCTACAATAGATCTCGAATTACTTCAAATCTAAAAAACTTTAATGTAAAATTAAACCGTTGAAAATGTTAAGAATGGTAAGATAACAAATACGTTAAGATTCATTGCCGATTGTATACCATTCTCATATTTATTCTAACCAAAAATCGCTCAATCCACCACCGAAGATGGCGAGATGCCGAAACGTGACTGACAGATCAATAAGTTTACAAATAGTCAAAACAAAAAAATATTAACACAAACAGTTTAAATACTTATTTACTTTATTTTTAATGTCGAACGAAAATTGTCTACATATGAATTATATGAACCTTTTAACTCAAAGTTTCGGTGTTTTTTTTTAACGATCGTCGACCTTATAAAAGCGATCCATTATTACTTGCGAGCCTTTTAACTCTAGAGTGGAAAAAGCCCTATTGAAAGAGGGGTAGTTGATCATTCTAGAATAAATTGCGACAAAGAATAAGTTCATTTGAGGCACTGATTACTAAACGAGTTCGATATCGGGGAATGAGTATGTTCCAATTAGGCTTAATTTATCTTTTACGCTCCTGACCTAGGACCCGAATTCATCCAGGAACATTTTAAGTTTTTTAAAGAGGGCCGGAGGGAGTTGCCGTGTATGGAAGGGGTTTCAAGTTACATATTTGTTGTACTAGAAACTGTAATGTACAATGTACAATGAAGTTATTTAATAAATAATAACTAAAACGAAAGATTAAAAATTATTGTTTTTTATTTGAAAACTAGATTAGATTTTTTTTAAATGATAACATTGTTTTATATTTAAAACAACCTATCTCTGGTATTCATATTTTTCAGCTGCAGTCATTTGAGTGTCTCGAACTGGTTACTTACTTTATGCTTTTATATGAAAACTAAGTCGATATCCTAGAATGCTAGCCTCTCGTCTGTACTCCAGTTTGACAACAGAAGAGACCCAAAACACAATAAATACTCTTAGATCTGCCCAACATCAGCCATATTTAATATGAACATTTCAATTTAAAAAAGGATAGATTCAGTTACTACTAACTCCAAACATTTATTAACAACTCAAAAATATTACAATTAATTTCAGATAATCGTAGAATAAACTTTATCTCTAAACACTGGTGTTCATATGCAAATGCTCTGCCCATATATAATATTTTACTTTTGAACACACCTCAATCCTAGTCACTGAAGCTGTTGGAGGTCAGGTAAATCTCATTACCGACTAGTGCACTTGGCGGATCAGGTTGAACAAGCAAAACTCCACGTCACTCTCAAACAGACATGCACACCTGTGCACATAAACAACAAAGTAAAATTACCATCCAACCAAGTCCGCTACCTTGGGGCTTTACTTAGCAGATGTACACGAAACCCACATACAAGAATGAAACAACAAAAACTTAACAAAAGATATAGACAACTCAGACACCTACTGGGACCACAAATTAAGCACACATAACAAACTAACCACTTACGAAATACTCATCAGACCGATTGGTCTTACGTAATCGATTTCGAACTGTGGGGCTCAGCCAAATCTTCCAACATCCAACGAATTTAATTCTTTCAATCAAAAGTTATCCGCCGTATCTTCAATGCTCCCTTCTACGTCATCAAATGATCTACACTGCTCATCATCAAAAACCGACCACCTGTTTTTTGCATGAAAAATGGCCAACTTTGGAAATGCATATTTTCTCAGCCTTTAAGTCACAGACCTGCTCTAAGTCTCATATTTTTAGAAAATTTTACGCTGAACAAGATGGTTTTTTTAAAATGTTTTCCTAGCTTCAGTTCATTCAACGTCATGTTAATTTTTGCAGTTTTGATGAAAACCTCAAATTGAGCTACAGAGCCAGGAAGTCGTCCTGGAGCGACGCCCTATAACAATCAATAGGAAATTTATTTTTTATTTTTTTTTTTTTTTATATATGCTTTTTTATTTCTACGAAAGAACAGGCAAGGATCACAATGCCGGAGGTCGTTGTTAAGAGAAAAAGAATAAAAGAAAAAACAACAGTGAAGAAATAATAATAATGATATAAGAATTAAAGCGAGATTGTAAGATTATTCGCTGCATGCTAGCACACCATCAAAAAAGGTTAAACATAATAGTAAAACTACTTATAATAGAAAACAAACAGAGGGGAAAAGTCTTAATGGTAAAGCGACAAAAAATCGGATATAATAAAGTCATATAATATATAAAGGAAATTGAGTGAATGAATTAGAGGGGTGAGAAATTGAATTCCATAATTAGGATTAATCTACATTTCCAGGCGTGGCGGACGTACTGCGTGAGCGCCCGTGGATCTGGGCTATCCAACAGATTTAACAAGTGCTTCTAGAGAGGGTAAAAGATCCCAAGTGCAACAACCTGATCTCGCCCAATATTGTACATTCGGCCATAAAATGCATTGTTTCCATAGATTGAGAATTGCAAAGGGCACATAACCCCTCGTTGCCCCTCAACCAAAGTGCAGAGTTCAAGTTAAGGGCCTCGCAACGGGTTTTTAGTAGCCATTTTAAGTTTGAAAGACTAAGGGAATTCGATCTGTAGATTAAATAAGGTGTGGGGGTGAGACAAGTCATTAAGTAAGGAAAAGTTAAGCGAGGACTGACCTCGGAGTAAGCAATCGACCCGATGCCGTTCCTTGAATCTAGATAGCAGACCTGAAAAAAGAGCTGGACAATCATCAAGGTTTTCGTAGGTGGGACAGGTTACCTCAAATCTTTGAAAGAGCGTAAGCCATTGGGCATAACAGGCGGTCTTATTCCTGATGACTTCGATCGCAGTTATTTTTGCCAATTTTATGTAAGGGGAATTCAAAATTTTGAAAAGTGATAGTAACGAGTAAAAGTGATGAGTAGAAAAGGTCAGTGGACGTTTCTAAATAAATCATGTAGTTTGAGTAGGGTTAGGAAGAGCAAATAACTTACGAATAAAAAATCTTTGGAGTTTCTCGACTCATTCATATAGTTGGTAGCCCCATATCTGGCAACCGTAACAGATGATTGACCGACATACCGAGATCCACTTCCTGTTTCGTCAATGGAGCCCAGGTTTTACCCCTTAATAGCAAGCTTCGCATATGATATTTTCTTTTTCAGAGCTACCAGTGTAATTGGGAGGTGAGCGTAACTCCAAGGTATTGTATTCGTTCACCACCTCAATTCTTTCCCCCTTAAAAACCAGCGGTTTGTCGCCTTTATTCTCATCCCTCTTCTGAAAATCATGATTTTGGACTTTTTGAGATTAACTGTCAGGTTCCACTGGGTGCAATATGATTCGAATATTTTAATATTATTTTGTACCCCTTGCGCGGTGTCTGCCAAAATGAAATATCATCTGCGTAAAGTAGTATTTTTATGCTAACGTTGCCTATTCGGACTCCACATTCGAGAGTCGAGGGGAGATCATCAAGAAAGAGCGCGAACTGAACTGGACTGAGTAGACAACCCTGCCTAACACCACAATTAACCTCAAAAAAATTGGATAAACCTTCACGCCCTCGGACCTCTGATGATGTTTGTGTGAAAAGGGATTTTAGGATATTCAAAATTTTGGAAGGGAAGCCTAATTTTGAACAAAAGTCCTCTACTATCTACACTAAATGCGGCTTTTAAGACCACGAAAAAAAAATGGTTAGGCCTGGCCAGTTTGATATTAATGATGTTTAACAGGACAAGTAGATTATCACTTGTCGAGTAACCTTTACGGAAACCCATTTGACATTCACTCAATAAACCCTTTCATACTACGAAGGCATCAATGTGAGATAAGACTAGAGCAGAGAAAATTTTGGCGATCGAGTCCACGCGGGAAATACCATTATACTTATTTACATCATTGACGTCGCCACTTTTGAATAGGGGGAAAATGATTGATTTCGAAAAGGATGGAGGAGTTAGACCTGAGGAAAATATAGAATTAAAAAATTGGAGAAGGTATACACGAAAGACAGGCGAGGAATTTTTATAGAATTCATAAGGAATTCTGTCAGGACCTGGTGATACATTGTTTTTAAGCCTGGCAAGGATCGATTCCAGCTCTGCAGAGGTAAAAGGGGCATCCAAAATAGGGTCAACTATATGTAGTTCAGCGTAGGAGATGAGGGTTTTGAGTAATGACAGGATTCAATAATGTCTTAAAATGTAGCGACCATGCTTCGAGAGAGATATTATTTCCACAAATATGTCTCTTTGTTTTGAAAGTATTTATAGCTTGCCATAACTCTTTCGAATTTCTAGTCAATTTTATTTGTTCAGCTGCTGAAAGGATGTATTATTTTTTTCTATGAGCGCAAAGTTTTCTGTACGAGGTTTTTGCACGCAGATAGGCTTTTCTAACAATATCAGATCCAGAGTTACGGAAGAGGTTTAAAAGGGCAAAGAACCTAGCTCTCTCACGGGCACATCGGCTATTATTAAACCAAGGCCTTTTGCCTACCATACTAACACTAGATGTTACATTCAGACTAGCAGCCCGAATTGCATCTAGCAAGGACTCGAGGAGGGTTCCATAAGCGTTCAGGGAAGAGGGAAGTGGTTACGACTTCAAAAGCATATTTACTGTTCTTTTGTACGTATCTGATTAACTTTCCACCCATTTAAATTGAGGTAAGACAGGCAAAAACGAGTAAGGTTCTGGTGGAATACCCAACGGGATAGAGACACATATAGGTTGGAAAAAGTGTGGGGTAAAACTCGAAAATCTGAGACATAATTGATTACTTCACTAGAGATGCATCCCAAATCGTTTACGGAAGTACCCATAAACGTGAACTCGCCCTCCTTATCATCCGGGGACCGCCCATTGTGTATTATAAGGTCATTACTTCACAGAAATTTAAAAAAGATGGGAAATTTTAATAAGGTTTCAATTCACTGTCCACATTGCCCGATTTCTCAACCATTTTCGAGTTATTCGCGATTTTTGGACAAGAACATGGTTTTCTACGTCCTCGTGGAAAAAAACCGGACGATATGTCGTTCCTATCGGATGTTCTACTGACGAAAGATTACTGTGGTCGGTCGCTGCATTATCGCCTCATCAAAACAGTCTTGACAGATTTAATTTGACCTTTTGGGATGCGGAATGCTTCTGCTGTCGATAACCACTTGTTTATTCAAACTCAACTTTTCCTTCCCGTAGCACAGGTGTTGTGGCAGTTTGGCTAATAATATATTTAAACGTAAAATCGTGAGAGAGAGTGATCGGTTTCTTTCCATGAGCACGTGAAAAACCACGTTCTTTGCCCAAAAAACGAAAATAACTCGCTGGCTGAGTTCTCTTGTTGAGTCCCAGACGGAGTGCGTTTGCGTTCCGGATCGCTCTTGGAGCTGACTGTTCACTCCCTGAGGGTGAGTCTCCGGTTTTGACTGACTGGGGTGAATCTTTGGTTTTGATTGACTTGATTTCCCAGTCATCCCTTTTTATACCAGTTTCTCTACAGAATACAGAAGGAAAATCAAAATCGGGAGAGTTGCCACGCCGTGGGTGAACCGGCGAAGACGGGTGTCGCACATGGTTGATGCGACCACAATTTACGATGTCCCAAGTCGCTACGTATTTTTGACCGTGTGACAACCGTTCAGCACTAAATAACTAGACGATAGTTATTTATTTCATCGGTTGTCCAACTATTGCAATTTTATGTTCTCCAGGTTCGTGGGGAAACATGACGTGGTTCCAGTCTGGGTCTGCGACCCTTCGACTTTCTTATCTATCTGTCCAACGGTGTAATTATTTCAAAGTTATGTTTGCCAGATTTGAGTGGGACGTCACGTCGTTCCCGTCTGGATAATCGCCCCTTCAGATTTACAACCTTTGTTCCCTGTCATCGTTTACCCTAATTTTTTCTTACTTTACAACTAAAACTTATCCATAAGACGGGGACCGGCTTACATAAGCATTTCGAAAGTTGACTTTTTCGTGCAAACACTAGATTTATATTATATATATATATGCTCTATTGAANGGATATATATAATTTTTTTTTTTTTTTTTAATAAAGATTTTAAAATCACATTCGTTAAGTTGCTGATCAGAACCCGCTTCCTCAATTTACACTTAAAATTATCCATCCCCCACTAGCCCAGTCCAACTCTTTCCTCAAAGTCCCACCCATATAATGATGACATCGTGACCTATTTTAAGTCCTTAAATTTTCCAACTAAGTAATGGGAGTTGCAGCCATATAGATTTAGCGCCAATCATGAATAAAAGCATTTTCAGATCTGTCCTTTTTCACACGCATTTTTAATTAATTCCAATAAATTAACGGGGGCGTCGGTAGCCGCAACAGTTTAGGCGATGACACGGCACTCATCACTGTAAGGTAAAGGTCGGGGGTTCGAATCCAGCGGCCCTGCATTCAAACTCGACATACTTACAAAGGGGTTGTTTAAAAAAAAAAAAAAAAAAAAAATACCCGATACAAACATAGAATCACCAGTAATCACATTCACTTCCCCCATGGTACTCGATTATTCCTCGGAATGAGGTTGAACTCACTCCATTCTAGCTACCCGGAGAACTCCATATCCCTCGGGATGAGGTTGAATCCGCTCCTTTCTAGCTAATAACTTACTTTTACTCATGTCGCACACTCACCCCACAGTACTTCTCATTCAATGGGAAGGGATTGAATCCACTTCATTCTCACTAATAAATTACGTCATTCCAAGACAAGTAACAGATTTTTTGATTAATTACACTATTTATCTACTAAAAATTGTACAATTTTTCTTTAGCAACGGACATTGTAGACTTAACAAATGACTTCCTAGGAAAGTGAGGGCTTCTTGCTTCCTTGATTGAGTAGCCTGCATGATTAAAAAAAGCATCATTCAATACGATCGTTCAAAAGAATAAACAGATAAGAGAATGTGTCGCTGGAGACAACTAAACCGTCGAAAAAAACCTGTATAAGATTAAAAAACGCCTCGAGGCTGATCCCGTTGCGTAACACGATTAAAATTACTAATCGAGACAAAAAAGGCCATGGCTGGAGTAAAAACAAAGGGGAAAAGTTTTCGCCCTATCGTTGAAATCGATAAAAATAATTACCAGAATGAAAAGGCGGTCAGAAGACTGGGTTGTTGAAAGTAACTCGCCCTCCTGCTTGTGAGAGATTTGTCACGTGGTTATCCGCAGAGGTTACCCGATCGAAGGGCAAAACCTCCTTCTGTTGTGTGCCGGACGGGAACTATCAATCTCTTATATCGACCCTTATCTTGTGTTTAAATTATTCTCTAATTCTTTTGTCCGACGATCGACGGAAGAATGTCGATGCTGGCGGAGAAGAAGACGAAAACTAAGTGGATCCTCGACCCGAGGGAAAACGAGTGGACCAAGGGTGAGTGGCATGAAACAGAAACAAACATGTTCTTTCGTTTAAGCATAAGAAGAATAAAGGCCGAATGTATTTCAGATAGTAACAAGTTCGGTCAGAGGATGTTGGAGAAGATGGGTTGGACTCCGGGGAAAGGTCTTGGTGCATCAGAGCAAGGCATAACAACGGCCCTACGCGTCAAATATAAAAGCGACAACAAAGGTAAAACGTAATTCTTTCCTTCCGTTTTCTGTGAAATTTCTGGTTGATGTCTGCAAGATGGAGAACTTGCAGGATCTAATATTCTTACCCTAGCTATTTTTATTTTTCAATATTTCACCATCATCGAATCGCTGGTGATTGTAGTCTCATTTTCTTCTACTGTGATGTAAAAGTTGTATTATGGAATTGACCCTTCTTTAATATCATCCAGGAAGTTACTCTTTCTTTAATTTCCCTAGGCATTTACAGTCTGTCTGAAGAGATTTTATCTCGCTTTCCAATCACTTGCTCCATTGCTTCTGCTTTTTAGTGACAGAGGGGCAGGTTTCTGTTTGTTTTTCCTATTTTGTTGAGGTGATAATTCAATGGAAAATGGCAAGAATAAAGGTCAATTATTTTCCTTACTTCTTCTCTGCTGAAATAGGTAATATGCCAATTCAATGAAACAACCCTGTTCCATCCAGAAATGAGAAGAAAGAGCCCAGAAATTGATGCTGTAGTCAAGTACAATTCTCATATTCTCAAGTAACATTCCTACACACTCTTTTAATGAGCGCCTTGGTGTTTGCACCCTTCAATTAGGTGGGACACATCGAGCAATCTTTCTCTACACATGGCTTTTGGCCCAAAAGTGTCCATGGCCAAAACGCATGGCCTATTCTTAATCAGATGAGGATGACTTCTCTACTCTAGTCAGTTCTACCTGTTGACAATGCGCTTGATAAGTCTGGGGGTTGGGACATCCTGACCTTACCCTCCAGACCTTTTTGTACAACAACCATTGCTTTGCTAATATACTCCTGTTCATAGTATTACTCCAATGAGAGTCGATGGTGGTGACCGTTCTTTAATTTCATACTCCAGAAAGTTACTCTTTCATTAATTTTCCCATAGAGACGGTTAATAATATGATGTTTTATTTACAGAATACAGCCTTTTGTCTCTGAAGTCCTTTTTTTTATTTATGTGTTACAAGTTTATTATAGACATCTCAATGAACTGCAGAAACCCACATTCACTTTACTTTGTAGCTTGGTCATCACTCATCATGTTTGACACATTTTGCCTTTTTATGCCTTAACTAAATGGTTGCAGAATATTTTTGCAATTTGTCAAAGTTCCAGATACCCCTGCATTTTTTAAACATCAAACCTCACATCATATTATTTTCTATGTGCAAGTATTCAAAAATTGGATTCTGTTCTGGGTAGAGCAAGTTGATGTGCCAGCTACTCATTGTTCTACATGGCAACACCTAAAACTTTTTTTAACGTATTGACTACTACTGGCTTGTCTCAATGCTCAATTGATTTACTGGTTTAAAATAGCAACAGCCTCTCTCTCAGCAGGCAAAATTTGAGGACTCTATACTGATCTCTGCCGTTTAAACTACCTAAAGAAGATGTACAAGTGACAGAAACATGCTACTTGTGTGAAAAGAAATCAGTGACAATGGCACATATTCTTTGAGAATGTGAGGCTCTATCCTGTCTAACTTTGGTTTTAATTGTGGTGAATGTATGTTATGTAAAGTGGTTGAGATGAAAAATTAGTGTTACAAATGGAACATTAATTTTTCATCTCAACCACGCTACAAAAAAATTATAAATCAATTTAAATCATTACTTTGACTAAATAGGACCAACTAAAAAACAATGGTCAAGTTGACACACTGTTGATGCCCACACCAGGAAAAGAGCAGATGTAAACATGCACTTAAATTTTGTTGTTTGTAATATAATTATGTTAATTAGTAATTATAATAAAGATCTAACAATTTATAACTGTTGTAAACACATGGAAAAAAACTAATTTTGCTTGCGTTATATCACCTCGCCATTTTCAAGATGAAATCTCACTATAATCTATTGGCTGCCCTAGAATGAGAAAATTCTCATTGAGTATTTATTTAATTTTGATTATATAAATTTGCAGGTCTCGGTTGCAAGGATACAAAATTTGAATCGTTGGCACAGCAGAAAAAGTTTGAAAAGCTTCTTTCTGAACTGAATTCTGAAAGTAACAGTCCAGACCCAGAAAATAAGCTTTCTCTAGAAGAAAAGTCCAAGATGACAAAGAAACGCGTGTTGTAAGTATATATTTTTTTAAATATTTTAGACAAGAAAAAAACTAATTTCACTCAATTTTTAGCTATCACAAATCTATCAAGGGAAAAGACATAACCAGATACAGTGAAAGAGACTTGCAGTGTATTTTTGGTTTTGATAATAAAAATAAATCAAATCAGAGCAGTCGCGATCTGGCTGATAACAACGATGTTCATTTCCAGGAAAATACCAATTTAAACTTACATTATATGAATAAAAAGAAAAGGAAATTAGATACTGAGAATGAAAACAGTGAGGCAATCGATACAAAAAGGGATTCTAGTGGAGAAGAGGCTGAACAAGTTGAAAGCCAGAAAGTCAACCATGTTCAAAATGGTGTCAAGAACAAAAAGAATAAAAATAAATGTTCAAAAGTATTATTAAACAATTACAACCATGATGATACTAGTGGTGTACAATTTTCAGAAGGAACAGAAGTAAAATCAGAAGTGAAGAGTAAAGAAAAGATTTTAAAAAAATCAAAACAATACCTGAGTGTTGAACATGAAAATAATGAGACGGATGGAGGTGTGACAGGAGAAGAAATTGAGAATAGAGAAGCAGAAAGCAATGATGAAATAAATAGTATTAAGAAGAAAAAACATAAATTTGGGCATAAATATGGAATACAAGAACAGAATGAAATATCACAAGAAGTAAATAGTGAAATTAGTCTAGATTCAGTAAGAAAAAAGAAGAAAACAAAACGGAAAAATTGTACAGACTTTATCTATTCACAAAATGGTGATTGTGAAGTTGAAAATGAACAAAACATTTTTAAAAAGAAAAAGAAGAAAAACAAAGAATGTCTGTGATATATATATATATTTTTTTTAATATTGTATATTTATTAAAATTATCCCGTTTTTTACCTTCTATTTTTATGTACATATTTAGTTTAAACTGATATTAACATAATAGTTAAAGAATATTATCATAAATCCTAATCACTTCTGGTAAGGCTTCAAGTTTGTCCACCAACTTACTCATCGTTTCCATTTCATCATCAGTAAGTGCTACCCTTGATATAGGTATCAGGTTGAAATCAGCCTTTTCAACTGTGTAATTCATTTTCAACAGTTTTCCTTTGACGTGGTTTATCTGGTCCATCGAGCATATAAACTGAAATATTGATAGACATTAGATTGTGATTGACAACTGAGACTTTTTTCTTCTTGTAATCACTCACGTCAAAGAGGTTCTCTTCTACCTCAGAAGCCAAAACTTCTTCAGCGCCACACTCAATGGCATGGTCGACAGTTTCCTCAGCCGGATCCTTGACATCTGGAGGAGGTTTAGCCGTTATTACAGCCTTGTAGTCAAACAGATGTTTGGTACTGTTTTCTGCAAATGTTAACCTATAATGACAATAGCATGGGCAGTCCTTGAAGTTCTTACCCGTGTTTACGAAGGAGAGGAGCAATGGTGTATTTTGTCTTTTTCACATTATCAGTTAATGTACTGATGACAAAAAAGGCACCTTTCGGACCTTTGAGTTCAAACCAAAATGAGGTCACTTTTGCTTTATCCATCTGCAATTAAAAATAAACAAATCCAAGAAGTATTTCTTTTATTTTTTCAACAGTTCTAACAGGGATATCCCAAAATAGAATTGTCATGAGGTACATAATAAATAGTACTATATTAGAAAAGTAAGTCCTGTCATACAAGAGAGCTGAACATCCAACTACCCACTGTGTGTTGTGGATGATGGATCAAACCACTTTACAGTACTTCTTTCACACTCAATTCAAAAATCGTGTGCTGCCAGGATGCAAGCAGGGCAAATATGAGATGGAAGCTCTAACCCGGCTACTGTGGTACTCTGACACACAAGAAAAGTAACTACAGGGCAGAGCACTCACAACTGTACCTGTCCTGTATGTATACTCATTTATTCCTTAATCGTAACTTCATAATTTATCCTTAATTTAGTAATTTCTGAAAAAATAGTAATCTTATCTGGTATATCTCAGAGGCCTTACTCGGCCCATTCCATTTCAATTTTTTTAAAGTTAATTTCTCCCTCTTTGCTGATGACCTGAAGGCCTATACTAGTATAACTTCCATTCATGACGCTCAACTTCTGTAAATAATCTTGTTGAGGGGTGTTCATGCAAAATAGTATTGAACTAAATGTAGAAAGTGTATAGTTGTTAATTATTGTCTTGGACATAGTGTTTTCTTCTACAATTATGCTATATAAGACATCCAATTGGACAGGCAGACCACAATTAAAGATCTTGGAATCATGTACTCTATCAACCTGATATTTAACTTGCATTGAACCTCAATAATTAATAAGTCAAATTAAATTTTAAGTTTCTTATAAAGAACTACAACAAATTTTAAGAATGCAGAAACATTGATTTTACTGTTTAAGGCTTGACCTATCCAATTTTAGAATACTACTCAGTTGTTTGGTCACCACATCAGAAAATACAAAATAATTCAATAGAAAATAGTACAGCGAAAATTTATTCAAATTCTCTGGTTTAAAATTATTAAACTAACTTAGGTACACCATACAAACTTATTATAGAATCCGCAGAATTGCAACCACTAAACATAACACAGGGGGCTGTGGTAGCCAAGTGGTTAAGGCATCAGACTCTCAGCTAGTAGATCCCGCGGCCGTGGGTTCGATCCCCACCATTGCCTCTGGACTTTTTCTGACGCCTAAGGGGACCGGTGGCCGCAATTGAAAGAAATTGACTTGGCACTCTTCAATAAAAGGGGCGGGATCGGATCTCAGTGACCCTGAATTTGGTCCCAACCCCCTTCAAAAATGAGTTTCTTCCATGGAAGAACACCGGTACAACGGGGGCTCAAGTTGCGAGCCCCCCCCCCCAAAAAAAAAAATATGGAGCCAGGGATAAAGTACAATAAGCTGTACAGCTCAGCTGCAGTGCTCAGGATGGAACTCCTCCAGTCCCTGGTATCCATTGGGAAAAAAAAATGAAATGATATTTTCCAACACACTCTTAAATAATATGACTGTCCACATTAATCAATTTACTAAATTTCTATGTTCTACAGTGAAATACCACAAAAAAATATTATTTTCAAAATCTAACTATTATACAAATTATTTAAAATTCAGTCTGATTATTCGACCCATGGAAACAAGTGATAAACTTCCTTTACATTGTGATCAAGGCAGGTGTGTTTCATTTGTTTATATATTTCTGTTGTTTAATAGAATGCTAAAATTACTTAAATTTTTTATCATTCCTTCTCATTTCCTTTATATTTGTCATACAGAAAGCACATAGAAATGCCACCCAATACAAAATTGAGCTTGAGCATATAGGTCCCTTGTTCTGATTCTTGGAAGAAATTTATTGTATATAGTAATAATAGTTGTGTGTACCTAGCTTGTGTTGAGAGTGAATGTATTTATTAGCATGAATACACTTATTAGCATGAATGTGTGAGGAGAGATAATTGATGGCAGAATATTGAATGGTCCGTGGACTAGGAGAAGTAAATGGGCTCAACTCAGCATACGTTTGTATGTGAGGAGATTTGAGCCAAAAATCCAAATCTTTTATATTTGTTTTTACATTTCTGATTTTAATTCAACTTTTATCATTCCTTCTTAATTCTTTTATATTTTAAAACATGTATTACGACAAAAAATTATATATTTTAATTGTTTGAAAATCATGAAATGCCGTCGGTGTGAAGTTAGTTTAGAAAAATTTTTCTGTATCATGCCAATATTTTTGTCTTTATTGAGCCCTGAAGATAATCTCAGTAAAGATCTAAACATTGGTAAGAAAATATTTTTCTAAACCACACCAGACCACACCTCACCATCTCCAAATAATCATTAATTAACAGTCAATAAATACCACACACTTAAATATTTTATCTGTTTGCCATGTCGAATATGTCCATATTTTTAATTATATGGTTATTATTATTTATGTTTCAATTATTCATTATTACTTATGGTATAGTTTAAACTCTTATAGAACTTGTAACTAGATATATTTATCCGAATAAATAAATAAATTGATTAGACCCGTTTTACTGCTTGCTTATTCAGCTAACTATTCAATAATTCATCTAATACAATTGAGTTCAGTAATTGACACCGTTTTATAGTCAAGAGCTCGGAAAGCCCATAACTCTGTTTTGAGAAGCAATAGCAAAAGAAGATGTTACACGGTGTTCACCTGAAAGGCATTTATAGTGCTCTGGATGGTAGCAATCGGCATCTGGTTCTTCTTGGCATTTTCAATTGCTTGAGCTAGCTGTAAATTGGTGTCTGGGTTCGCCGATCCTCCTTCTGCAATATGGCAAGATACAGTGTTACAAAACAAATACAGAACACAATTCACTGGACCTAAATACCTTGAATAGCAACTTTTATCTTTTGGCTCAGTTTGAAAAAAAGCTGAGACCGCTGCCCATCCTTTTCCGCTTTGATGTGTTTGATGTTGGACCATTTGTTATGACCCGCGAACCGTTTCTGTACCCTCGATATGCAATTTATCTGCCTTACAATAAAAAAGCTTGGAAGCATTTTTTCTATCTATATGAAAATGAACCACATTATTTGAAAACGGGACTGGGAGGTTTCAAAACTGTTATTTTGATAGCAGTTATCACTGACCAAATAGTATTCATTTTTATGGGAGAAAGACTAACATTTCACAAATTATGCAAAAACCGTTCAATATTTTCTTTTAATGTGACAGATATACTACTTAAATAAAATGTAAAAACCTTAGAAGTCTTATATATAAAAATAGTTTCAGTTAGTGTTAAAATATTAGGAGTTTAAAATTTAAAGGTACAAGCATTTTTTTCAGCTATTGTGTGTATTTCCAACTCATCAATATGCCTTTGTGCCAGTGGTTCGAGAAATTTTATATTTAAGTGGATTTTGTACATTCCAGATGCCGAAACTGGAGAAGAGAGTGCTCCGTCGAAGCCTGACAGTCGTTGGTGACTTGTTTTCCTCGACAGTAGACGCAATCAAAAACGAAAGGGATGTCAAGATGGCTTTGTACAACAGCCTGGCATTTTTATTCGTTTTACTTTGTATACTGTCTTTCTGCAGCGTTTACTTTATTCTCCAACCTTTCCTGAAGTCGCTTCTGTGGGCTCTGCTCTGCGGCTCTGCCCTGCATCCATTCAAAGAGAGGCTTTCTGAGAAGCTACGCTCTGAAATCGGCTTTCTTGAGTCATCTGAGAGGCCTTTTTCCATCAGTGTACTCCTTGTACCATTTTACACTGTCGATTGGATTTCCAACATTTTTGGAAAAATTTTAAAACACAATATTTATCTTATTGTCAAATGCTCACTGTTTGTTTTCCTCGCTGGATTGTTTTATTTTTACACACCTTCAGTGATTTTTACCATCTTTAATTCTACATGGGAGTGCATTCATCTCACATTGCTCTTCATACTCTCGGCATTCAACAGTACAATTATTGTAAGTACGAATATAAAAAGTTTAGGATTAAAATTTAGTAAGTATAATTGAATAGCATTAAAAACCCATTGTCAGTTAAAAAGTAAATGTTATTCTAAAATATAAGTAAAATTAAAAGTACTCAATCAATCTATATATCTTATCAAATTAAACAGATTTGGTTTGTATTAATATACGATTTTTTTTCTGTTTTTATATTTATAATGAAAAGACTTCATACATATTTTCATAAAAATTTTCTTTTAAAAAAAGTTTTACGTTTTTATATTAAATTAGTCACTCTTAAATGAAGTTGATTGTAACAATCATTTTTTTTTTTTTTGTAATTATTAAGAGAGAATTTTAATTATGTGGTTATATGAACCAATGGAGTGCCACTGTTTTTTAAGAAAAGCCAATGTCGGGTTCGAACCCAACCTTGTTTTCGAACCTGGGACCTTGACAGAGATGAGTTCTGTGCCAATGCCTTAACTGTTGTGGCCACCAACGACCCTGATCAGGGTTGTGTTCTTTTTTTTTTACAATTAATTACTGTTGTAATTTGTCTTCTTATTCTAATATAGAACTTCAGTATATAATGTTGTTTTAAATTATTATTTATTTAGTGTTTTTCTTAATTGCAACTAAGTTGTTATATATTCTGATAGCTTGACTTAACTGCCATGGGGCTAACAAAACATTTTTTTAATTTCAAAAAACTAGCTTTGATTAATAACTGTTTTTGCTAATGTGGGTCAGTACCAATTTAAAGTAGGTATCTTCTGAAGTACTTCTATTCCTATTAAAAGGAACTTTGATGTTAATTGTTCAGTTTGAAAATTGTGTCATTTTCCACTTTGCCTCTAACGGCACTCTTCTACTTTCAAGTAAATTGTGTGTTGATTTAGGGAATACAAAAAGGTAGAAAGTAAATTTATCTCAACAATAAAGAGTGGTGCACAAAGCTCATAAAATACATGCATAAAATAACATACTTTTGTGACCAAAGAATCTGAGTGGCATTTTCTTAAAATCTGTTCAATTTTAGTGGCTACAGTTTTACTCAATGTGGTCACACTTTCTTTAATTTCCCATTAGTTGCAAATGTGATGCCAAAATATTTGTATGTAAATGCGATTTATGAAACCAAAAAGGTTTGAATTTTTCCACTTTCTTCACCACTTCATCGAATAAAGACAAAAAATCTATCTTCAGTTTGTAGTGGTGTTGAAGCTATTAGAAGTCAAACCTATGAGTTTTGTTTTCACATAGATTGGCAAAATAGAAATTATTTTTATTTCAGACTGGGTCAGTGGTGGTGAGTTTCTGTGTAGCGCTGTTCACCCTTTGGGGACAGGAATATGATTTTATACTGTCAGTCTTATCTTTCATATCCTGGATATCGGGAACGGCTTGGCTTTCTAATTTCTTCCCTTCCTTGCGCGTTTTCCTATTCGTATTTTTCAATCTTGTCCTTGTCGTAAGCTTCCTGTACAGGTTATATGAAAGCTTTTTGGAAAAAACTTCAAAACCAGATGAAAAAGAGTGTAAACTTTCAGAAACAATAGAAGACGAGAAATACATACAAACCAGGTTCGGCATTTTTATTAAATTTAATTATTTTTGTATTATTAATTAATTTTTTTCTAGCTCTCTCTACATTAAACATCTAACTGCGGCTTGTGCATTTCTCTTTGCTGTTAGTATTCCATCTGTCTTTTATTTTGTCATGGCCTTTGTAGTAATCAACGGTGTCAAAATCCTATGTAAGCTGATATTCAATTTTAAAATAAATAATATAGTATGAACATACAGGGTGAGTCACTACTCGTATGAAAATGTTTGTCAGGTCCTACACCTCAAATGCAACAAAAAAAGTTCATATTGAACCATGGTTTGATTCTCAACCCTTTTGCAGATATTCAGTATTTTATGTTTTTTCAACTATGGTTTTCATCATAAATCTTTTCATAGCTTTTAGGCTATACATTTTTGGGGAAATCGGTAGGAAAAAATTGAAAAAAAATTTCAATGCTTTGTTTTGAATTTTCCAAAATAGTTCAAGAGTGTAGCTTTATGATGAAAAACATAGATAGTTGAAAAAATATAAAATGTTGTATATCTGCAGAAATTGAATATAAAATATATTTTGCATTGTAAAAATTCACTTTTCCACATCCTAAATGTAATTGTTAAATGTAAACATTGTTTGTAAATCCCAGGCCCTTCAGATGATCTCAATAAAAGATCGAAACGTTGGCACGATAAAGAAAATTTTTTCTGAAACCTACATCACACCCGACTGCATCTCACGATATCTGAATAACTATCTGCAGAAATGTTGAGAATCGGGCCATGGTTTGTTGCATTTGAGGAGTAGAAGCACATGACACACTGCTATAAGGGTAGTGATTTACTCTGTATATTTGACAGGGAATAATCTTCCTATTTTTGTAAATACTTTATAAAATAAAGAAGAATGGTAGCTTTAGTTATTTATTTATTATACAATTCCTGTGTTGGGACAGTCAGAATGAATTTAAAATTAACATTTCAAATGGAAAACCTTGGATAATTCATTACATTCCTTTTATTATTCAACTGTGTTAAAATTTTCTATATTTTCTTTAAGGACAAAAAAAAATTCATTCTTCTTATTTTTAGGGTTTAAAATCAGCGATTCGTACAATATCGAACGTTACATACAAAATGTGAAATGCAAGTTTCATCAGTTGTTCATTCAGAGAGAGAATGTATTATTCCCACCGACCTTGAAGATATTATTGAAAGTAATTAGATTGATCATAATAAATTAATACCTTGTGATTTAATTTTACATTTATCTAAAGGGTTGGAGAAAAGTCAAATTTAAGCTGCTAACCTGTGTAAAGGATTATTGTAGTTGTGCTGCGACAACAATCGTTATCTTGTTGCTGTTGGCCAGTGTGTTGTTCTTCATTGTTTTTTTAGCTATTCAGGTATTAAACAAGTTTTACCATTTCTCTGTTTAAAAATTCTGAAAAAATTAAACATTTCAGGTGTACAAAGAAGGGATTTTTCTTGTTCAAGCTAGTGGCAACATCATAAATTCAACGATTCTCCATAATCCTCAACTGAATGAGATAATTCCAGATGACTGGAGGGTAAAAATAGACGATTTGTTGAATGATGCTTATATCTACATAAGAGAAGGGATTGCAACAATGGTAATTTAATCAAATTGTAGAAATAAAAAATAGTTTTGTGTTTGTTCCCTATCATGTTAGGGACATCTACTTATCTTTGCTGTTTGATCTATAAGACATGTTTTGGCTTCTTGCCACCTTCAATACCACAAATATAACAGGAAAATGATTATATTATTCTTTATTCTTTATTATATCTACAGGTTTATTACCCTGCAGACCTAAGGACTTACAAAATGATTTATAATTTTTATGTAAAGTATGATTGAGCTGAAAAGCTAGTGCCACAAGCAGGACTTGAATCCACGACCTTTGGCTCAATTCGCCACTACTCTAACCACTTGAGCTATTGTGAGTTTGGTATACCAACTCATCATCTCATCCCTCAACTTTTTAAAATTCCCCTCTTTTTGCCTTACATTCAAATTAAGTCTAATCATTTAGATCATTGGTGAACTTGAAGTGGCCATGAGGAGATGTTGTAGTGAACAGTGAAGTACAGGTTCTTTAGTAATCATATTAATATGTTTTAGTTGGTCCTAGCTGACCAAAGAGCAACGAAACCATATTGAAATCAAACAATTTATTGATTTTTGTTTATATGATTTTAGCTCCAATCCTTCATGAAAAAGAAGGGGATCGATCCATTAAGGAGTAAGCAACTTGAATACGAAGCACTTCAGCTTTGGGATCGTGCCTACCAAGCTTGGGTGCCGCCTTTTCAAACCACAACTGGCCCGATTACAGTCATGGTGACTCCGGATGCTGTCTCTCTAGCCTATCATCAGTTTTTTGAACAACTGAAAAAGACGCCAGGTCTGTTTTATTGCCATCTGTAAAAAAATTATTACTTTACTCAGAATTACTTGTTTCAGAGATTTTCACTTGGGACTTAAGCCTGATCAAAGATAATATGTCCACGCTGAAGACTGGCCTTGATTCAATCCTGCCAATAGTCTGGGGCAATATGTCTCTCTTTACCAACATCGCTTTGACAATGTTTTTACTTATTTTTGGAGGAGGGATTTCAATACTGAACTTTTTTTTAAATTGGGTTTGGGATTATTTTATTATGTCGTACTAATGATATGCCTGTTTCATTTTCTGAATATTTAGCGATAATAATAAGCCTTGTTCAAATTTTGATTTATCTTCTCACACTCAATAATTTTTTGCTTGATATAGGTTGTTTTTTTGACTGCATTGTTCTACTTGCTGAATTCCAGTCAAGAGGTATACAAACCTGTGGAGATCATTACACAAATGTTCCCAAAACATGGAAAAAGGTAATTAAGCTTTCCTAACCTCTCAAATTTGTGTTTACATTAATTCAATTTAGACTCGCTCTGGCTGTGGAACTCTCATGCCAAGAAGTGTTGACGGCGTCGTTTAAACTGTCCACGTTCTACGGTCTTTGGACCTGGCTTGTACACACAGTTTTCATGAGCCATTTGGCATACACCCCTGCCATCTTTGCTGCAGTGCTTGGTATGGTGCCAGTGTTGGGTACTTACTGGGTTTGTCTGCCTGCCGTTTTAGACATTTGGCTGATACAAGAAAGTGAGCTGAGAGCAGTGGGTCTATTTATCGTTCAGATAATCCCAACTACTGTCGTTGAGATGACTGTTTATAATGAAATCAAAGGGTCTGCATTTCATAACAAAAAATAAAATAAAATAAAATCCAAATGAATATTTTTACTTTCAGGGGTGGGCACCCATATTTGACTGGTTTAAGTGTAGCTGGTGGCATTTTCTGGCTTGGCGTGGAAGGAGTGATAGTAGGACCTGTCGTTCTATGCATTGTATTCACTTTTTTAAAGATGCTTACTAATGGGACTAACCCAAACTTATGACACATATATTCACCAAAGAAATTTTTATATTAATTATTATTGAAAATATTTTTTATTTGCTTTATGAAAAAACTTGAAAGTATTAAAACGAAAAAATTTTCATGGCTGTGACAATATATTTTCTACTTCCTATTTAAACATGTATAACATTGTGTATATATTGTATTTAAGATTACAATTTTTTAATTTATATTTTTAATATTGTCAGCTTTGCTCTACCCTGCGACGGATTTCGGTTACCTAAACTTACCTTAAGACCAGGAAATGGCTCGCAGTTTCCAAAGCCCACGTACAGCGAAATCAGCAGAGTGCGCTGTGATGAAAGCTTGGGGGAAATTAAAATAAAGAAAAGTAAAATGAAAAGCAAAAGTAAAACAAAACCTTCTTGACCAAAAATAAATTTATTAACTTAATGGTAAAATTTATACAAACTAAAATAAACAGGCCTCAAACTTTTTTGTGGCAATTAATAATTGAAAATTGAGCGAACGGAGGAGCTTAATCGGCAGAGACAAAAAGCACTTACGGTTTAACCAGTTAGAGAAGCTAGGATCAGTCCGCCGCAGAGATCAGGAGCCAAGTCTTTATTAGCCTGAAATTTAATTCACCTACCTTCTGTGATGGAAGGGGGCATTTGTCCTACCTAAACGTGTCCATAGGCGACCCCTAGCGACTCGTGACAATATATTCCTTTACTTACTTATAAAAAAAATGATAGACTGGTTGAGCAAATGGAAAGTCATCACAGTTGTGTCCTGTCACAGGATTTCATGGTGGAAATTAAATTTTTCGTCCATAAAATATAAATTGTTTTAGTTTCACAATTAAGTTTAATGTGTGGTAAGTTTAAATTTAATTAAGTTATTAAGTTCAATGGTACTAACGGTCAGTTATTGTGGCCTTGCCAAATCTAAAATCTAATGGCAAATTTTGTGCCCTTTCACCCTTAAACTCTAGGATTTCCTTCCTTCCATAGTCTATGGGGTGGTGAACATGTAGTTTGGTAATTTTGGATCATTTTAGTCTATCAGATGTGCCATCTTCGATGCTTGGTAACCAAAATCATTAAAAGCTGAAGGTGGTGAAAAGGTGAAATTTACTTGAGAGATTAAAACCAGGAGACCAAAATGAAAAGAATTGACCAAACTACACGTTTACCCTTGTCCAGTTTTTTATATTTCCAGTGGTGTCAGTGGTATTCCAGAGGGTTGTTTTTTTTGTTGGGAAAATAGCATGATTAGTAGCAGTTTTGAACCCTTATTAAAAAAAAAAGTGTCCAGCTTATTTTTTAATATACACTTACTTCTTTGTGCCATCCAATTTGCTTAACATTAATTCTTTAGTAAGGATATATCTTATTACCAGACCTGTTTTGGAATTTTATTATTTATAAATCATTTAGGTCTGTCTAGCCTCGTGGTTTTAATCTTACAGATAATCTTCTGGGTGAAAGAGATGGTTGTTCCCAATAGTATACATCCCAGATTAGCCCATCCTCTCCAGTCTGTCACTTAAGAATTTCTGCTTCTCTTGTTCATTGGTTCTCAACGACTCCCATAATCTTTATGCAGATGATTCCCAAATTTACCTTAATTTCCAGCTGCAATTGTAAGAATTGTTACATTCATAACAAAATATATAAATGAAATTACTTAACCGGGTATGCCGCCTGAACTGAAGTTAGCGGTGTATCAATCTCCAATTAATATGGTCAAGGTAGGTGAGAGGTTAGGTACAGAGGGCTAGGGGATACAAGTGTGATGATGTGCGTCGATGCTATACTATACAATCTGGCTGGATCTTTAGAAAATAATCAATTCCTTTATTCATAAAGTGACAATGGACCCGCCCAACTTTGGAGAAGGTTATTTTCAACACCATCTGAATCTGAAAGTTTAGTCTGTATGAAAGTTTATGTAGATTTTAAGATAAGGTTCATTTGGTAAGTAAGATTGTTCTCAATTTGTTATAGTGTTACTCTTAGAATGTTTTCATTTCACATATTAAACAGCTGGCGCCAATTTCTAATTTATTATTAACCTCAGCCCATCTTCATGGAGCAAAGCCAGCAAATTTTCGGCACAAGAAATTTAGGGCTTAAATTCAATTAGATCCTGGACCACTGAAAATGGGCTTAACTTTAATATAGAAAAGTGCCAGGCTATGTGTCTGGATCCTGTTCTCTCCTCCAATCCTTCCCTTTTATCCCTCCATTTACCATTAACAATACTAATACCCCTATCCTATTCTATTGTTAAAAACGGGATTTTACTTGGAATTTTATCTTGGAAACTTCATATTTCCCAGATCTCCGCCATTGCTTTTCCATCCTCCATCAGTTCCGTTGTGCCACCTTCTTCCCATTAGTACCCATGAATTCCTAGTTTCCTCTCTTATTCACCCCAACTGTGACTATGGATGTTGTGTATGGAGGAATCACCGGAGAGCTGGATGAAAGACTGCTTAATGAATTTTGTACTCTTTATCTTTGGCTTCCCACGTGACTGATATGTACTCTGGTTTGAAGTGATTATATCCTTTCCACTGCAGGCTATACTTCCTTGGCTCCTTCTTTTACCAAACAATATCTTCCCATTTTTGCATGTGTATTACCTCCTAACATTTAAGTGCTGCAATGAGTCTAATAGAGTCGACTATCAAAGAGCAGCTCATTGTAGGAAGAGTTAACTGCAAAGTGTCTTGGAAGGAGGCGACAGGAGGGTTGACTTGGTCAGCCAAAGTCAAGAGGACCCACTCATCCAGAGCCATGAGAACTCAGTCAGCCAGAGTCAACAATTCAGTGAGAGTATTCAGATAACTCCAAGATTTATCCATCAACTCAAAGACCATCCCTGTCAAGTTGAGAACTCAGTAGACACAAGGATTAATCCATAGCAATCAAGCACACTCCGTTTGGGACTGACCATTACTGTATTGGAAAACAAATCAAAACACTAGAAATTTTTTTATTTAAATAATTTTCATATGTGAAATAAACAATAAACTATGTGTTTTAATGTAGAAATAATGTTTCTTGTGTCAAAGTAGTTATGGAGACGTTGATTTTAGTTCTTAATTTATTGAGTATCGGGTACGGCATGTCCATTGAGGGCTGTTTGAACATAGACATCCCCATGACTGACACCAATTATCGTTATGTCATCTGTCGTTACTACTTTTGTAGAGACATCGTGAAGAATCTGTCGGATGAAAGCCAAAGGAAGCTCATCAGCAACCTCAAAAAGTCAAATCATGAATTTCTTCAGGAGACTTCATTGAGCACAAAGCAGCTAAGGAGAATTGAGCGTGCAGTTGGTGCCATTTATAAAGATTTCCTGAAGCCCACCTTTTCGAGACAAACCAGGTTAAAAAAGGATGATTCAGATGATAACGATACCTTTGTAGATACCAAACAATCAGATGTTATTAAAGAAATTGATAAAGTATGTGAAGTTGAACGTAAAACGAGCAAGGCTGAAATGCTAGCATCAGATAGGGCGTTGTCCTTTTATCACATTTTCCTTTCTATGATCAGTATTTTGATCAGCATCTGGATTGCTGTCTATATTTACAAAATTTACACCCAGAGAGCCAAGTACATTTCAATTGAAAAATTGAACAGATGATTTTTTCCAACAAATTTTTTGAGGCCATGAAGCAAAAGAATGGTGGGAACAAATAACCAATTTTATAGAGCAAAAATGTGTAAGTGTAAGAAAATATAATTAACTTTTGAAAAAAGTAATTTTTGGATTATTTTTTATTGTTAAATTACTGTTGATTTTATATTTTATCTACATATCAATTATCTGTGAACAACATACTAACATAATAAATTAGAGGGAATCTGACTTTCCTCTATGATAAACTAATAATTAGAATAATTACAAAAATATTTATTCTAGGAGGTTAGGAACTGAAAAAACCAGATGGATAGAATCAATGCTGAAAAGCAGAAAACTGCAGGCCTACATATTCCACTTCTGCTGTGGAATGTGGTAATGGTGGACAACCTCATAAGCACACTAAATGAACACAGAAAATATACCCATGGCTATGCGCAGATGACATTGTTACACTAGGTGGGGGAAATTCGCCTCAACAGTATTCAATGGTGCTCACAACAGGCAAACCACAAAACTTGCACAAATTGCATTTACCCCCCCCCCCCCAAAAAAAAAAAAATAATAATAAAATTTAAAAATAAGAAAAAATTCAAGGTCTATGCTTCAATAATGAAATACTGACTGCAGTTAAAAATGAGGTTAAATACCTAGAGATAAACTTAGATAAGAAATTCAGTTGGAATACCTCACCTGCAGCACATCATAACAAAAAGCAAAGTATCACTAAACCTTTAGGCAAATCTTGGGGACTAAAACTGAAAAATGGTCCATTGGCTATATACAGCAGTAATAAGACCAAACCCAGCAAAAACAAGCTACCCAAACGTTAGGCAACATGACAAACAATTTATTGACAAACCTAAGTAACACAGGGGCAATGAAAACAACCCAGTCAGTGCACTAGAATCACTGCTAAACCAGCCTCCATTGTAAATATTTATACAAGGAGATGATCATGTAGGCTCGAGAAACTATCAAATTGGATGAGACTACTTTAGGCAGACAACAATAATTAATAAAACAGATACCCATTCTTAGAAATGGGCAATGAATACATGATCTCAGAAACACTCTTTACAACATCCTTTAAAGTCTGAACACACTACAAAGGAGAAGAATTCAGGAGGAAATAATGATATGGAAATAATGAATAGATGATATGGTATACAGATTGCTCCAAACAAATGAACTGGATCAGGCGTTTTCTGTACAAGCCCGAAATAAGAGCAATCAAAAATTCATATCGTTCCCTTCAGCATTCAAGTTGAAGTACATATAATACATATCATTAATGCATGTGCCTTAGAAAATCTTATAAGAGGTTACACTGGTAAAACATCCTCATAATATTTGAATATGCTTCTATTCTTGGGATAACATCCCCCCTCTCATAACGGATCCAAAAAAGACAAAAGGAGAAGTGGATGTACACTAGAAGTGCTAGACAATATAAGCTTATGTTAAAACAACCCTCACCAAGACTGGCAAACTCACTGCTACATTAGAGAGGGCTAAACTCAGAGTGATAGGACTATAATATATCAGTCACGGACATCTGATAAAACACCTACAAACACGGAGTATATTCAATGATGATCCCATTTGTAGGCTAGGTGATAAGGAGGAAGCCATCCATATCATCTTCAAATGTGAAGCAACCTCTCAATGGAGACATAAACTAAGATACCAAGAAAACCCATGGAAAAGAATTGTACCAACAACAGTCAGTGGAGGAACCTTAAGGGAAGGATCAAGTTGAATGCCTGAACTAAGAAACTAGGAAAGGCTGCAGTGCTTGGGAACAAAAAAACCCCGACTTTCTAGTATCCATATCATTATAAAACGTGTGTCCACACATCACTTCTTTATAAATTTTAAAAGTGCTTATGAGAGCACTATACACTCAAAACTGTATGAGGCCATGCAAGAAATGAGTATACCAACCACATTCATTAGGTTGGTGAAAATGATAATGATGGATATGGCATGTGCAGTCCAGATGCAGGCTGATCCATCCCATGATTTCAGTACAGATAAAGGACTGAGGGAAGGTAACTCTCTGGCCTGTCTCCTGTTTAAAACAGCCATAGAAAAAGCAAATCCTGACCTCAGGAACCATACTCACCAAATCCATATGGCTGTTGGCCTATGCAGTCGAGTAGACATCATAGCCTACACCACACTTCTGTACTACTAGAAGACGCTTCTTTGCCTTAATAAGAAGTAGTCCTAACCATGGGTATTACCATTAATGGGAAGAGCAAATTTTGTATGGAGGAGGTGGATCACAGGGATGGACTGCAAGTGGCTCTAACATCTTAGTCAATGAATTTATCTATCTCACTCCTAAATTAACTCCTTCAATAACATCTCCCAGAGGGATCCATAGCTGCAAATGAAAAGCAGCTTGATCTCCAGAAACACAAAAATCGGTCTGTATAAAACCCTCATCCCCCTTGCTTCTCAAACTTGTTTCATACCCAAAACAGGCTGAAATAATTTCTTGACCTTCAAATTATTTTCTGTGCAATAAAAGAAAAGGATGAATGGCGAAGAATGAATAAGCAGTTATATGATCTATATAAAGAAATGAACACTGTAAATATAATAAAGTTAAAGATGGGCTAGTCATGTTGTGAGATGGAGGAGGGAGGTGTGCAAGCAAAGATAATGGATGGAGAAATGGGCATGAGCCTAAACGTTGGAAGGCGTAAGCTTAATTGGCTTTATGGTGTATACAACGATGTGAATATTATTTTAGGAGCTTGCAACTGAAAAACAGCTGCAAATTATAGGAATTTCTGGTATAAACTTAGTGGGGAGATCAGAAGTTGGAAAGGGCCCTTAAGACATACAGATAGATTTAACATATTTACAAGTAAACATTTATTTATATATTTACAACAATTGGTCTATCTTCATTTAAAAAAGTGCCACCCTATCTATGTATTTGTAAACCTTGAAGTCCTCGACCTTCTCGTCATCAATGTAATTATAAAGATAAAGGCACACAGTGCAAAGGTAGCAGTAATCTGAAGGTAGCCTTTCTGTATCGACTACAATGTATCTGGAAATAATTTTTCTCACAATTTTTTTCCACAAAAATTCATCGACTAAACAGTCATCTTACCTGGCAATACGCACACCGCAGGTCATGCAGTAACTACCACGAAGATTGCTGAAGCTTTTTAACAAAGGATAGCAAGTTTTGATAAGTTTGTCCATTGGGCTAAGAAGCCTGTAATAATATAAATCTTTAATTTTACACAAATAAGGTCAATATTCACTTATTTCTTATAAGAATAAAATGTATATATTAAGGAATTTGTTTTTAAATTCTCACTTATATAATGCTTAAAGAAGTGCATAAGAATATATTTAATTTACCTTGCATCAGTAAAAACAATGAGATGTTCACAATCGCCTTGGTGCATATAAACATATGGGTAGCCAAGGCGGAATGAGAGCTGGTCGACTTTTGTCATTTCCATCGGCTCGACAAAATTGAGATCAAACCCTCTCTTTTTACCCCAATTTCTAATGGGCTCACTGTAATCGATATTGCCAGCAAACCTACAATCAATGTAGAAAACGTTTCCAATATAAAACATTCCTGATTTATACTGATCCTAGAATAAAACAGATAATTTTTATGTTACATAAAACTTTAAACACAAATAAGTTATATGTTGACGTACCATTGCATAGTATTGACTAGTTGATAACGGTTCTTTGCTCACATCGCCTTCCATCGGTTGGAAATCACTATGGCAGCCGATTCTATCTCGGAGATGATCTAGGGTCAGACAAGACGGTAGGAGAAACTCCTGGCTCACTCTCACACTCTTTGATCTCCCTGTGGAGACCTTTGGGTGCATGCACGGAAGGTATATTCTCACTGTTAGCACATAATTGACCAAAGGTTCTAGCAGTTCCACGTTTTTGGTCAGTTTTTTTATGTCTAAGTCTTCCTGGAAAAAATATCAATAAATAACTCTCAATTCTGAATTAAAACAATACCTACAGTATCAAGTTCGCCGCAGTATTTGATTTTGTTTCTCAAAGTGACGGCATCCTTTTCAGCTCTCTTCTTGAGATAGATGTTGGATTTGAGTTTTGGTGACTTTGGTAAATCGTACAGAATGAAATCTTGCCTGAAGCCATCAACAGGAAGGATGACTTTGGACTGATTGACTTTTCCAGGCTTTCCCCGTAATTTTGTCCAGCTGTAGAATCACAAAACCAATAAACATTTATCAATAGATTGACAAATCACACATACCATATTGTTTTATTAAGAGCTCGAACTTCACTTTCGCTTAAATCCATTTCCACATTCAGTAAATTAACAAAGTGCTGGACATTGCAAATTTGCTTAACATTATTGGAGAATTCTTCAAAATACAATTTCAATGAGGTGTTCTCTGATATTTCATTGACTGGAATCTTGTTTTTTTGAAGATAAACTGCTTCCATCTTGCCTTCTGTAATGTAAAATAAGTATATTTTTATTTGTAATATTAAAAAAAATACATAAAGGAAAGTTTGGAATGGTTGTGCAAGGCCAAGATGTAGACCTGACTACCAACTGGATATTAACAATGCTAAGAAGTTTGATAATAAACACTTGGTCATCAGACTATATGAATAGAACCTTCCTAAGGACGCCCCCAAGGCGGGGTACCATCGCCACATCTTTGATTGCTAGTAGTAGATGATCTTACTAAAGAGCTTAACATCTTAGAATACCATAGGTTATGCAGATAGCCTGGTGACAATCATAAAAGGGTAATTTAAGTTTAAGAAATCATATGCAAAGTTTGTACCGATGCGACTTTACATGAGCCAGCCAGACACAAAGCCAATGTTCTCACTCTTTAAATTTGCCATCCACACCCTTCGCCCTGTGTGATTGAAGAGACAAGCAGGCCGTGTCTCTTGATACATGTATATTACGTCACATGTCACAATCGTACAGGTGTGAACTGATTTTGTTGTTCCTTCACATTTGTTATAGGTCTGAGTGTTGTATACCTTACAGGACAATTATCATATATCGCTTACAACCTAAAGATGTGTATCCTATCGCTCTGGTGTAAACCCTACTGTAGGGTACTAAAGAGGCTTCAAACACTTCAAACTGCGATCAAGCTGGACATGAGAAGAATCTCAAACTGCCCTGAGACACTTACAGATATGTGATTAGAAGGTAGTATGAGTGATATTTACATGGATAAACACAAGCTGAATGGGCATGATGTACAAAGTGCACACTAATACACCCGTGCGCCTGCTCAAGGGTTCAGAACACAAAACATCTAAAATAAAAGATTTTACAGGAGTGGACTAATACATCCCAGGTGTGACAAAAAATTTCTCTCAATGAAAAACCGTATATTAGCGGTAATAAAAATTAAGGATGAACTGTAACATTTAAATTAGTGTCAGTAAATAAACAAACTAAAAATAATTTGTTCAGAGGCTTTTTTTACTGAGTGTATGAAGACAGATTTTACAAACTAGAAGTTTATCGTGGTACGCTTTTTGTCTAAAATAGTAAACTTACTTAGAAAAAGTCGAAAAATCAATGAAAGTACAGAAATAAATGTTTAAAATTGAAAATCCACCATTTAATAAAGGATTAGTTACATGTAGAAAGACATTTACAAGCTTTTATCATTTTGTTTATAACCTTCCGTGTCACTGAAACGAAAGGTTTCTTCCGTAAACACGTGTTCTGATCGAACTGATATGGAAACGTGTTAAAATGTGAGGTTTAATTGTTGTCGTTGCTTGTGCACAGTGATTAAAGAGTGTTTCCCGTTTATTAATATCTTGTCGCTGTGAATATTTGGAATTTTAAACAATAGAAATTTTAAGAATTTCATCGAATTCACTTATGAGTTTTGGCCGGCCCGTCGAGAGATGGCTCTTGCGCCTATTTCGAGATAACGGAAAGAAGGGCCGGGATTGGTTTTCGCGCGGTCACGTGATGCCCCTCCCTCCGTAGTTCGTTCAAAAAGACACGCTTCCTCGGATCGGATTGCATCTGCGTGTTTCAGTCGTTGTCCGTTCGCGGTCGGGGTCCTTTCGAACCGCGTCTCTTTTCACTCGTCGTCATATTTATCTTTCTAGGGGGCGTTTTAGTTGTAAGTGTGTTGTTTTTGTTTTTTGTTCAGTTTGTGTGCCGGCGGAATGGATCACGACATTAACTTCGCGGCGCAGTGCCTCCTCGAGATGTCTCACGCAAAGTACGAGAATTTGAACAAGGCCCAGATCGACATTATCTGCGAAAGGGAGCCCAAGTACAAGGCGGTCATCGTGAGGAGGGTGGCGGAAGAGGAAGAGGCCCTCGCCGAAGAGGAGGAGGAGGAGGCCGAACGGCCGCTCTACATGGTCGCCAGGATTCTTACCGATCTCACGGAGATCAAGCAGGAGGAGATAGTGGACGACAACGTCGATGTCATCACAGTGGACGTCGACACGTCCGAAGAGCCTTACGAGGAGGCGGTAGAGGTGCCGCAGCGGAAGAGAGGCGCCAGGTCCAGCTACCGCAAAGTGCACAAGTGCCAGCATCCCGGCTGCAGCAAAGTCTACGGAAAGAGCTCCCACCTCAAAGCGCATCTCCGCACCCACACAGGTACCAGAAAAAGATATTTCTCACTGTCCTCCTTTCCCATAATACCATTATAGAGTAAAATCATAGCCGTTCGTAGCGCAAAGGTCTGCAGAAATCGTCGGATGGACCGCTGCATATCTGACTACACAAAAACTATCTCATTTAGGGGCATTACAGAAATTTTGCAACGTCGATTGCGCCGAAACTTCCAGAATTGCAGAAATATTCTAAACTTTTTTTCTACCAAACAAGTTGGACAGTCATATTTGTAAGAGTTGGACAATTGTCGCAGTCCAAATTTTTTATTCGGGGTGTCATTTTTCGTCTGTGAGATACTGCAACTTCTGTGTGAGTTGCAAAGCTGTTGTTTCTACAGATCGGCCGGTCGAGGATTGTCAAGTGTAGAGAATCAGTGTAAAACCGCTATACCACCGATGATAAAGCCGTGCTCTGTGTTGTTTTGTCCAGGGGGACTAGGGTTACCGGTGAAGGGGTGATGCCCGAGAAGGGGCGTGTCCTGAAGAACCGTGCACACTTGACAAACATCCGGATGTTCAGACTTCAAAAATCAAAACTTCACTCATAAAATCGGATACTTTGCTATTATGTAATTTATTAAAAAAAAAATGTCTATGCTTCAAATCGGGATAAAATAAGATTTTAAAACGAAGAAATCTTCACGATTGGTGTTAACTTTCTGAGAAAATATACAATTTTTACAAAGGGTCATTATAAATCCGAGCGGAATTGAAAGTGGATATGGTAATCAGATCAAACATAGCCAAGGCTGCATTGGGGTCTTCTCTTTTATATGAGAATATAAACATAAAATATAAAACAATAACGATTGAATATATCCTAACAATACCAATTTTTCTTAAGTTTTGAAGAAGAGAATACTCACATAATTCTTGTAAATTTTTCCTGCCTGTAAGGGAGCTTACTCAGGTCAAGTTAACACAATAATTTCTAGTTGTGCATTGTTTTATCCATGAGTATGTAAAAAAAATAATAGTATCAAATGATAATTTTATTGTTTGATAGTTACACCTACCATCCTGGTTGATTTTTGTGAATAGGCCGACCAGGATGTTGGTAGTATCAAACAATTGTTTTATCACTACGCAGCCCACTGGAGGAAATCTCACAAGTGAATTTTCACCTTCTAAGCCTCCTACCCTCTCTTACTTCTTCTATGACATTCTTTTTCATTGTATCTCCAACTGTCGTTTGGTCCACTTACACTAAGAGTCATTTCGTGTCTGTTAACGCAGTTATGCGGAATACCTTTATGACGCAAGAAATGAACAGCCATACGTAACATAACTCAAACGGTGCTCGGCAACAATAAGCATGTGGCAACTACTGCTAAAATGCAAATTGTAGTGCTAAAGTCCATTCTGGTTTTTTGAGTGAAGATTAGGTAAATGGTCATTGGATGAAGAAACATCAGAACTTGATTCTCACTCAAATATTTTCACTGGTCGATCTTCACTTCACATACATTCTGGTTATGTTTAATGAAATGAGAATAAATATTACTATAATTTGAAATCGCCTTATTACACAACATAAAATGAAATTAGTAATAAAAGTAGCTTTAATAGTTTAAGCTGTGTGGTCGTATAACCCCATTTCACATAGCTTCTATTTTATTTATTTTACCCTGGCACTGGGAGTTCTTTTCAAATTAAAGCTGTTCCTTCCCACTCCTTATTGTTAAATCCTAATTCCTAACAGATCTTGCTTCAGAGTAAGGTGCAGCAGCAATACGTTCTCTGAGACTAGATCAATCCAGGCAGGGAGCATTCTTAGTCCTATACCACTTATGCCGATACATCACAACTCCATCCTTAAAACCTACGCAGACGATACTGCAATTTTATCTCCTAACTCCAATTTTACCAAAGCCACCTCTAACATGCAGGAGGATCTTGAGCTCAATGAAGAACGGTGAAAAACGTGGAAGATGAAACTGTTGAAATGCTCCCGAATTACAATCACGCTGAACAAACAGCCTTGCCCACGTCTGTACGTTAACAGTAAAGAATTACCGACACCTACACAAGCAAAATAGTTAGGGCTGTACTTAGATTGATGTGGAATCCTCACACAAGACAAGCGACAAGAACTAAATAAACGATTTGAACAACTACAAAGGCTTAGGACCGAAATTACACATGTCGGTAAACCTAAATCTGTACAAAACGTTACTTAGACCAAGCCATCCATATCCAACGAATCCAAGCATTCCAATAAAAGTTCTCAGAAAAATCCTCCAAACTCCTTATTTTGACTCCAACCTTAACATTCCATTCGTCAAAGAATTGGTTCTTCTCGTTTCCTCAAGTTTCAATGCAATCGTTCAATCCATCCTAACCCTTCTGCTCAAACCCTCTCCAATACTTCCCATCCATACCCTCCACGTCTTCTTAAACGACGGTTGCCCGAGACCTCCTCGCCTTTACCCTTACCAGAGTGCTAGGCCGTAGTGTTAGCATTTTGCCTGGGATTTTATACCGTGAAGAAGAATTTGTAATGTGTAAAATTCATTTATATGATACAAATAAATATTGTATTGAAGAAAGCTATGAGTTTTTAAATCGAAAATATTAAAGACATCTCACACGACCTTGCACTGGACGCATCTAGACCGAGACTAATCCTCTGAATTTTTTACTAGCAGTCCTACTTCTAGATAGGTCCTATTTGGATCCGTTTTAATTTTTCTTTGGACTGATTGAACATTTCTTTCCATAAAAATATAAGCAATAGGAGAAAATTTGAGAGATTATGATTTTAATAATTTGAAGGGGATCATGTTGCAATCTGAACAGATGAAATCTCAGATAGAGTATTACGATTTTTAAATACATTTACGTGAGAAACCTATATCTCAAAAGAGTAAAACATTACATGAATATTGTCTCAATTTTCTTTCCATCCCTTGTTACATTTTTTGTGTATGCCGTTGGTGGAATTTTCCGTCGTTCTGAAAATTTTCTTCCGTGAACTTTTCCTTAAGCCGCGTTGTGCCTCGTGCTTTTGTTTTAAAGGCTCAAAAGTTCTATAATATTTACCAGACGAGCCGAGCTTGGGTCGCGGAGGTGGGCGTGGTTCCCTGATCCGGCGGGATTATTTACATTTTCCTTCAAAGCCGTTTCCTCGTTGAATTTTGCATGACGCCCTATCACGAATATTCCGATTCTGGGGAAATTTACCGCAGAAGATTTGGTACAAAAAAAATGATACGGTGGGAAATCGACGATAGATCATGTACTGTAGTAGTACTACTACCAAGGATACTTTAGCACTTTTTTCGAAAATTCTACATAAATAAATCTTGCAAATAAGCATCCTGGCTTTTTACATTCTGATTTTCCGTAAAAAGTCAGTTTATCTCGTGTTAATCCGACAACTGACGTTGGTTTGATAAATTTTCAAAACTAGAAATAGCCACACAAGAAACTGTTGTCTAGTTAAAAAAAGGGGTGTGGTCCAAATCAATGCAGCACTGTTCTTTTTGGTTTTTCATACGTTCAGATAATTCAGTTTGGATAATTACTTTTTAACTAATCAACAACG